TTTACAATTACTTTGTGCTTTTATTGTCATAATGATTAATGTCAAAAATGTCAACAAAAAATAATCTAAAAAAGTAAAAAAAAAAAACTATAATTAAATTAAAATAAAATCTATATATAAATACATTATATATATATATATATATGCATTTATATATAATATTATATATATATATTATTTATTTCCCTTTATTTCTTCTTTTAATTTCTTTAAATTTTGGCATGAAATATGAGCTACACATTTCAAACTACTGTACCATAACCTCATCCCTACAGTCTCACTATGGTCTGTCCAGATCTAAAGTTACAAAAAGCATCTCACAAATGTCTGCTGTGTATCTGTGCTCTTGCTTGACACATTTCAGCTCATACAAGCAGTGATAATCAAGCGTTTAATCTCCCTTCGCCTCTATAAAGCACTCTTTAGTCGCTAGTATACAGAAACAATGTTATATAGCTGTTACTGCGCAGCACGAGTGTTAGAGGAGTAAGCGGGACTTTGATTCTGATTGGCTGATTCTAACGATCCTCCTGCTGATTGGTCGCACAGATAGCCCCACAATCAGCCAATCAGAATGTGCTCTTTACAGTCAGTGGCTCTAATGAGGGAGTGGGGGGGGGGAGATGAGGGGGCCATGCAGCCCCATCACATGCAGGGGGGATAAAGTGTTAAAACAGCAAAGAACACAAAGGTGAACCACCAAAAGGTCAAAAGGTCGTACAAGGGAAATAAGTCGTCTGATTGGCTGTAAAGTGGGGTCATCTGGAATCAACCCAGCCGCCACCATCGGCATAATGGCTGTGAAGATCCTGTTACAAAGAGGCAAAGATATGGAGAGTTGAGCAAAGAGAAGAAACACCCAGAACCACCTGTAGTATCATTCTGCTTCATTTGGTCACATCCTACTGCTTAGTCTTTAGCATTTCAGATGCATATGGCAGCATTAATGATGGTCATGCCTTAAGATTTTAGTAAAACATGGGTACATGGATGCCAACGTGTGTCATAACATGTCATAAAACTCGAAAGCTATAAAGCTGCAGTTTAGTCAATATGTAACTTGCTTTCTTTAGCTCAAAATTCCCAGGGAAATGCATGCGCTGATAAAATGCATACTTGGACTGCAATGCATGTTGCTTTGGATAAATGCATACCTTTGTAAACATTCCAAATTCATAAATAAATTAAAACATTTTCGGGCAACATATTTGTGCTCCTGACGCAAAGGCTGTTATAAAACACTAAGGGGTCAAATTATGCTGATTTTAAAGAATAAGGGCCAGATTTACTAACAGCTTGTGCCAACGCATTCCCTCTCTTTTGGCTTTAAACACTGCTGTTAGGGTTTACTAAAGACACGCAGTGAAAAATAAGAGATGAAAAGGCATGAACAGTCATTTTTGCAGCTGATCTTATTGCATATGCATTTGTAGGAGTATTCCTTTCAGGCGCAAAATTTATGGGAGGAGAGTATTTAAATGAATCACGCAACATGATTTACTAAGGTTTGCGCTAGTCAATTTACTGGTGTTTGTGCCTTTATTTACCGCCCAAAAAAGCCTTTCTTATTGGTTTTGCACCTGTATTGGAAGTAGATTACACACACCTTACTATCATTGGCTCTGTGTGTTTGCACTGCTCTTGGTAACTTGCGTTGGTCATTGTGGAAATGATCTGACTGCATTTGAGTTCTTTGTTTTGTGCATTGTCAGTAAATCACCCACAGAACTTTCCACTCCCATCGGCGCTTTTATGGGATTGTGCTCTCATGCTAATTTGCACTGTTTAGTAAATCTGGCCCTAAATGTTTGTAATATAAGTGTGTGTGTGTGTGTACATGTTTGGCTCTTGTAGCAGTACGCACAGTCGTTTTATCCCCGACTCGGGCTGAAAGTTGGAGCGCGAGCTTGGCCTGAGGGTTGGAGACGCATCTGGGAGCAGCGTGTCTGTTTCCTCTTCCTGTTCGTCACTGCAAACGTGATCAAAAAATAAATCAGCAATTCATATTTTTGATTTTTCTCACACTTGCGATTTCATATGACAATTTGGACTTTTTTTCTCGGAATTCTGAGTTTACATTTCATAATTCAGTTTTTTGTTTCTGCCACAAAATAAAAAGTAAAAAAGGCAATTGTGACTCACAATTTTTTTCTCGCAATTGCAAGTGTACAACTCAACTCAATTTTCGGAATTCTGAGTTTAAATTCCGTTTTTTTGTTTCTACCATGGAATAAACAGTAAAAATGGTAACTGCGACTTTTTATCTAAATTCTGAATATTTCTTGTGATTGTGAATGTATATCTCACAATTCTTTTTTCTGGCAATTGTGAATTCGTATCTCACAATTCTCACTTTTTTGTCAGAATTGCGAGAAATTTTTTTTGCATTTACCTTTTCTGTTAAGCCGTGCGAAAACAAGCTTTCATAAATATAGTGTTATTTAAAAGTAATGGTATATAACTAATATATTTCATAAATTATTTTTTTTTTCATTTTAAAGAGATATGACTGATTGGCTTAAAGTTAAGTATTAAGATGGTTGACCTTTTGTAATATGCGATTTCCTCTTGCAGCATGAAGACTTTAGCTTTCAGCTCATTGCGCTCATGCAGGACGTCACGCAGCTCTTGCAGGGTAAATCGTGGGCGGTTCGGGTCTTTTGGATCTATAGAGGACATGTCGTCATCACAC